TGGCTGCTCCTGGCCACTCTGACTGTAGCTTATCACCATTGCCCTGACTAACTGTGCTGGCAAACATGATGTATTTACTCCTGCCATGTCTGTCACTTGGTAGTTGAGACCTGGCATCTCTGGTGGTGGAAGGGATTATGTTACTGTTCTCTTGTCCTTTTTACATGACCAGGTTGCATCGTGCCTGTTTAGTGATGTGTTAATGCTAACCTGCCTGTCTCTGCTTGGGATTAAATAGGGAACTGTTTCCTAATCCATTTTCTTGGGAGAGGTGTGGGCAAGGTAACTGCTGGCTTTTTCTTTCCTACTTTCTTTCCTGCTTCTGCTCTTGTGCTCAGGCCTCTGTGTGACTGTAAAACCTTAGCACTGAGAGTTAGTTCTGGGGGTCCCTATCTCCCCAGGGTGGTACAAAGATGTCTGGAGTGCCCTGATTGCTACAGCTTATGAAATATCTTTATTTAATAAAAAGCATGACGCTTCAGATGTTCCTACTGGAAAGCTAGGACACTTTATTACAGACATTGTGTCTGCCACCAACGCTTCGGAATTCTGCTTTCCCAGTCTCCTAAAGTATTTACATTGTGCGCTGAAGCCTAGTTCGTATTTTGCATCTGTTTTTGCCTGACCCCTAGTTTTTGGGGGAGTTTTTCTGTTGTGGTTGTAACCACTAGATAAATTAACTGTACTGTGTTAATTTTTTTTGAATTTAAGTTTCAGTTACTTTCTATTTTGCATTTGCAGAATGTTGCTATGAAAGATTTGATCAGGTTATTCCTAATAAATCATGTGCTTAGCAGTTAGTTTAAAAATAATATTCGTAGCACTTACCCAGCAGCTGCAGTTGCAAATTATAAAATCTAAAGCAATCATCTCCGTCTGTCTTACGGTAAGAGCTGTGGGTTTTTTGCCATCGCTGTCTCCATTTAACCTCACTTAAATGGTTCAGCTTGCAATCCTCTTCTACCTAACCGTTTGCAATGCAAATAATATAGTTTCTGTACTGCATATTTTTCACATATTAATATGTGTTCATAATCTGAATTCCACATTAATAGTCTAGTCTCGATGAAAATAATTTTCCTATCATTTAGCTGGACCTTGTGGCCTGCTATTTTCTACTTTCTACTACTGCCCGCTTTCTACTTCTTGCCCTTTCTTTTTCCCCCAGCTTCCTGGACTGGTTAAAGGGCTTTACCTTAAGTGGATGATGGCCAGCCCAGCTAGTCAGGCATTTCTTATAGTTTCCTTTGCAAGCTCTTTCTCGTGGTATTAGGGGTGAATTAATCTGCTTTTCCTGAGTTTTACATTACTGGCAGTTTCTCTTGTTTTACAAGTCAGTTCACCCCTTTTAGCGAGTTCTCGAAAAGCAGCATGCATTTTCAAAAATTCTTCTACATAGTTAGATGCAAGTTATTTTGCCTCTCTTCCATGGCAGTGCTTTCTCTGCTTCCATCATCTACCTCTCTTGCGGGTCATGTGCTAGTCCGGATGCCTTTTCTTTCCAGCATCCTTAGCTTTAGCCATGCCCTGCCTAGCTCAGAGCTCCCTGGTGTTTTTCTGGGGTCATTTCAGAGCTGGGTAACTTGTACAGCTGGGTTGCTTGGCTTGATTGCTCCAAAGCTTTCGTGTTCTGTCACTGCCTAGCCAGCTAAGGGGTATGAAGTTAACAGCCGGTTTAAAAACTTACAGGGAAAGTTCAGTCCCATTTTCCCAGAAGCCACCCATCTTGATCCCTTGGAGTCGAAAACAAACAAAATTACTGGAGACAGACAATCTTTTTGAAATTCTATGGCTCCTAAATTCTGCCTCAGGTGATTTGCTTTTCTTGTAGATTAGGTGATTGTTTGATAATTATAAAATTAATTTTCTTTACTTTGAGGATATTTTCCAATTTCACAAACTTTACAGTGGTGGTCTTAAAAAGCTCACAGATGAGCTGGGTGGATGCATTCTAAACCAAACGTAAATGCTTTTAGCCACACACACATTTACTTTCTCTCTTTCATTGCTCATAGTTATGTTCATGCAGTAATTTTCCTTAAGCACATAGTAAAATATATCTATGTGAGTGTTGTCACAAAATCATTGTTGCCCTTAAGTTGCCTCTCAGAGTGCCTATGCAGGAGTCACATTCATACTCTTATGATTACTTCTTAGCTTTCTCTACCTGGGGGATTAAAAACCGCCTGATTAAAAATCATCTGATGTTTCAAGATGCCTTATGTGCCATGGGACTGACAGCTCATTTTTCTGCTGAAGCTTGATTTTTTGGTTTCTTACTCTATGGTGAGATGTGGACAGTGCTGGGTTTGACACTTGTCTACAATGTGACCCAGCAAGGCATGCTCTGCTCCACAGGAGAAATGCAGCCTGCCTTCTCCCAACACAGCTCTCCCCTTACCTCTGGGTCAGGTGCTTGGCAGACAGACACTTATGGCCTCTTTCAGTCTGCTGCACTCAGACTGTGTGGACCTTAAAGTAAGTGCTGAGCTGTGTTCTCTGTGATGAAGAGAGCTGTATCAAATTATAAGCAGCTGCTTCAGGCAGGAAGCTATAGCATCTGCCCATACAGAGGTCAAGGTTTAGCTGTCCGATTGCTGACATGCAACAAGAAAAAATTACCAAATTAAAATTTCATCATTTCAAATATTTTTGTTCCATCATAAACTTTCTTGTAAGAGGACTTTTTTTTTTCTGTAAAGTAACCTATTCATTTTATACTATATCTGTTTTATAAGAATGGAGATAGCTGGGAGATTCCTTTTCCAGCCAAGTGGTATGCTGGACTGTCAGACCAGGAGAGAAGGATATTCTGAATATGCAACACACCTGGATAGTACAAGAAGATAAGAGACACTTAGGTATATATGGACTCTCAGTGCAAAATGAGCATTGTTGGGAATTGGGGAATTGTAATCCTCCTGAATGTAGAAGAGTTTTTGCAGAGTAACTGGATTTCTCCTGCAGTATGCTCACAGCTGTGTAGAATGCTATTCTTCTACATATAACCATTCCTCTCCCTTCATGAGCTATTTACCCTGTAAATACAGCCCCCTCATCCCTCTTTACTACTAGATCTTGTTGCATATGTCCCAGGCACCCTCTCCCTCTTCCAAAGGTAGCCTGAATCCTGCTGCGGGCTCCAGTAATTGTAGCGAGGGTTCAGCAGAACCTGTGAAGTTGTGTACCCTCTAAGTGATCACGTGTCCTTCAGTGCTGCCAGGAGGAGTGAATGGCTGCTACGTTTGATCAATTGTGCAAGGCTCTCACAAATCTTGCTGTGCTTGAAAATTGATCTTGTTTGTCAGACTTGATTAATATTGGCCAAAAAATGTGGGAGAGATTAGGGAGGCAGATGCATAATGTAAGCTTAAGAAAATGGATAAAAATCATGTAATAAAAAATCCAATAAGGATTTCTCTTCTAGTTAAGAAAGAAAATTTCTCTATCTCTCTGTCTGCTTTTCATTTTAGTGTGAAGTGGGTAGTGTTGCCATTTTAATTTTGGTTTGTGTATTATTTTTAAAAAGTGTGGGTACACTTTTGAGAAGCTGATGGCAGTAAAGGCATTTTCAGTGAATCAGTTTCTTACATGGAAAAAACCCCACTCGAAAAGCAACATTACACGGAGCTGTAAATGGAAACTGGTGTCTCTTATCCCCGAGTCCACAGGCAAGTCTTAAAAACTGTCATTAATTAAGCACCTCTGTTACAGGTATATAATTATATCCCACTTCTGTGTTATTTTTCGTGTTCTGATAGGCCCTGTGATACTGCAGAGAAAGCAAAAGTTTCAGGCCTCAAGAGCTGGAAAGCTCAATGTTGCATGGAGGTGGGTTTCCAGGGCATGAAGCCGGATATGTGATCTGAAGAGGAAGGACAAGATTCTCTTTTAAATGAAGATATGAGCTTTTAAGATGATAAATGTGGTTCTACTAAAAGCATTGCTGCTTCAGCTCATTGCACAGCCCATTTGTAGTCAGTTGTTCAAACTGATGTTTGTTTTCTTGTGTCAGTGTAGAATTCAGATGCCAGGAGTCCTGGTGATGCACATCACAGTGTGTCAGGCTTACTGCTGTGCTGGCTCGTGGGGAAGTCATGACACAGCATCAGCATTGATCATGCTCTTGCACACAGGAACACAGATCTTCCTTGCCTTTCCTTCCAGGTAGGCAAGCATATCTCTGTTGTTTGCTGGATGATTCTCAGTAAATCTTTGCAAGAACTGAACGACGAGAAAGAGAGGCTGCCACCTGAAGCCATCCCTTTTATTTGCTTTTTAATATTGAAAGTGTTATTATTCCCTCACTCCTTTTGCAATGACTTTTGCTCAGAGACTAGAACCAGATGTAGGGCTGAAATCCTCTCTATTCTGCATGATGATGGCTTGTTTCCAACTCCTCCTATTTGGCAGTAAGAGGCGTGTACTTAAAATGTCCTTTGAAGGAGACAAGAGCAGTTGTGGCAGAACTCAGATCCCTTCTATAAAAACTTCAGTGAAGCACATACAGCATAAACAAACCAGAATGTAACAGAATTGCTGCATAAAATGTCATGCACAGCAGTAGAGAGCTATGGGACCCTCCACACTGGCATTTTACCTTTTCCCTGGTGACTCTGTTGGTCCTTCTTTTCTTGGCAGTTTTGCATTTTATTTTTACTGTGTTATCTTCTCCTGAGACTAATAGTGTTTTCTACTTCATGCCAAAAAAAGGTCTCCTTGGACGTGTCTCTTAATTCATCATTCTTAATCCTCGGAGGGTGATATTTACAAAGGTTGTAAGGAGAATATAGTTATTCTGGTGTAAATTCAAGTTTGCTCATTGCTTATGTACATAGATATGTGCATTTGCTTCTAAGGCAAATAAGATCTTAGGATTTTCTGGCAGGAATCCTTCCTGAGCATCTCTGGTATAAACTGGAGGGACTAGGTACTGGCAGTTTGAATAACTTCCTATTTTATTATTTTATTTTTGTCTATTTTTTATAAATAACTGCCAGGTGTTACAGAAGAGGACAGGGCTGCAGAACTGCAGAAAACGAAGACTACACCAGCTGAAACAGGGGTAAACAATCGCACAAGGGATGTTGTAGACCTGGAGACTCTTAGAAAGTCTGTGGAGGACTTTTTCTGCTTTTGCTATGGTGAGTGCTTTAAAATTTTCTGAAGAGCTGTTCTAGGTTTCTGAGTTTTTATTCTTTTATTCCAACTGGGAGGAAGAAACTGCACAATCTTAGCCTTCCAACTACACTGCTATTTTTAGAAACTTTTAGTAGATGTTTCTAAAAACTATACATATAGTGGTTAATTTGCTTCTTGTGTTTTGTGGGATGTGATTTCAGATTATTACCCAGTGTCGTGTTAATACCAACAGCACTTGGTTTCTGAGGAGATTTGCATCTGCACTTTGCTTTTGCTCCAGTCCTCTCCAAAGTTACGAGAGAGACTCATTCTTTTGCTAACTTGAGCCATCTTGACCTCAAAACAATCTCTATTTTTTTTTCTAGGTGAAGCTTTAGGAAAGTCAACAATGGTACCTGTGCCATATGAGAAGATTCAGAGGGACCAGTCTGCTGTGATAGTGCAGGGCCTGCCCAAAGGACTTGCGTTTAAAAATCCAGCAAATTACGATGTTTCAACCCTGAAATGGATTTTGGAAAACAAGTCAGGGATCTCGTTTATTATCAAAAGGTTATTTGCTCACTCTTTTGCACTAGTCTGTCCAATTCAGTTTTGTACTTAAATTAAGTAAAATTAATTTTAATTTTTAAATAGCTACATTGTAGGCTGTTTCTCTTAAACAGGAATGCACTCTCTGTAATGTTACACTACCAAGTAATTAATGATGTCTTTGCTAAAAGTGAGTTTTTCTTTCCATATTTCCACACAGGCCTTTCCTAGAACCAGAGGAACACATAGGTAAGTTACTGCTTACTCAGACTAAACAGAAACAGATTGCAATTTGAGTTTAGATAGCAATGTAGATAGAATATTTGGTCATGTCCATAAAGCAGCAAACTGTGCAGAAATTTCTAGACCGTGAGTTGCCTTACTTATGAAGCTATAACCTTTTCCTTTATGCATTCTACCAGGAGCAACTCATTAGAGATTAAATTCGTTCTATTTAATTTTTCATCTGTTTACTGAATTTAAGTTTAATGTGGATTGGATAGTATCCTAGGGAAGGGAGAACGGAACTTGCAAAGGACTGCATTGCATTTTTAGAAGTTGCCAAAACTTTGCAGTGCTTATATTCCACTACAGAGCTGATTTTGGCATTTATATTTAATTATAAAAATTAATTTAATTTTCTTAAGTGGCTTGCTGTTGTAGTTCCTATGAAAGCCTCTATATATCAAAAAAATCTGAGCTAGAGTAAGTTTTGTAAAACCCTAAAAGATTCAATTCTAGCTTAGGAGAAATCCCTTCTGTTCCTTTCATGGGATCATGTTGCTTTACTTGCTAAATGAATATATGTGAGGATTAATTTAAGAAAAGGATGAAGCAATCTCTGTAGGAATGTAATCAAAAAAGAAGAGTTTAATTTCTTAGGTGAAACAGAAGTTGATGCTTGATTAGTAAAATTAAAAATGTGTTGTTTGTGCTCAGTTAGAAGATTAGAGATTGGGAAATTACAAAGATTCTGCTAACAATATAGTTCTATTGAAAATGCAATGTAGGTTTTCAATGTAGTGAATGACATTCTAAAAATATAAGTTATTTTTGTCTAGCTGTAATTTAGGACTAAACTTAATCTATATGAAACTATCATTTTCTTTTAACAGAGTTTAGGTGAAAGACTTGTTTATCCTTGTTTCCCAAGATTTTCACTTAGCATCATGAAAGACATCAGTGCATTTTACCATGCACATCTGAATAGATTTTATATTGGTGTTGCTTTATAGATTATTAAGGTAGTTTAATGAGATCTTTCTCTCATTATCTGTGAATACAGAAAATATGCACATGTGCTTGTAAAATGTAAACAGGTTTTTGCTTTGTGAAATCAATGTTACATTTTCAATTTGTATTTAAAGTAAATGGAGTACAGGAAATTCAAATACTGTTTTTTAACTTTCAGGAGCTCATATGACAGATGCTTCACATTCAGTTATACCTCTGGGTGGAAGGTAAACTTAAAATAATGTAACTTTCTTTTTTGTATCAACTATGCATTTTCATGTGGTTTATCTATCTCTTGGTGTGCTTTTTCTGCCCAGCTGACCTTTAGATAACTTTTGTTTGCTTGGCATTATAAAAACATCTTCTCCTTCTTTGGACCATTATTTATGGAGAAACCGTTACAAGTTAAACAAATGGCAAAGTGTCTCTGTGGTTTAATTAGCCCACGGAGTGTTCTTAATTCACAGTTTGTCAGTCAGGGATAAGTTTGCCATATTTAATGGTATAACAGGGGGAACAGATATCAAGTTGCTTCCTTCCCCCTCCTCAGTTTGAAAAAAAACAAAAGTCATTTTTTTGGTTAGTAAATGAAGATATTATAGTTGGAATACATAAAAAATTGGTTAATGTGAAAACAGGCCTCAATTTTCTGTGCTTCTGTGATTGCTTCTCATTAAATGCTAAACATGATTTGAATATTTTGTATGCCCCAAAAAATGTAGGGATAGGAGATTCCTGGCAATTCGCATGATATGAGTCAGATAAGCCAATATGCAGTTTTTTACTTTTGTGTTCTTGTTGGAAATAATTCTGGGAGATTGATTTTACTTGACGGGTTGTAAAGCTTGAGGAACTTCCCAGAAATGTGATGTTTGTATTTTATAATGTCAATCTGCTTGATTTGGTTTTTTTTGTAGTTGTTCTCCTATTAAAGTGAAAATGGAGCCAAGCGGAGATTCTGGTATGTTCAAAATTTTGCCCTTATTTGCAAAAAAAAAAAAAATAAATCTGAATTTAAGCAAAACTAGGAAGCTTAAATAAACAAAAGCAGCAAAAAGACATCTTTGGTGAGATGGAAAACCCTTTTTTTTCCTTGAAACTCTCCACTTTTTGGTTGGAGTTTTTATCAAATATTGAACCTTAGCTAAATGCTTCCATCTCAAGAGGGAGGAAATTTGTAATATATTGTAGACTAAAATAATTTATCTTTAAGTAGTTTTGAAAAGAGGAAATTCCTCTGTTTTGTTTGGGTTTGTTCTAATTCCAGATATCTTTGTCCCTAATGGGAAACAAAAAATCTTTGTTTATTTGTTAATATTACTAACATATTGAAAATAACAAAATGTCCATTTTCTAGCCAAAATGGAAATAAATAAATAAATACCAAGATGTGTTATTTGTTATTAAAAAATTGCCAACCCATTCCTAAGTTGCTTTGAAGATAACAGATGATTCCCCTAGCCACTGTGATCTGTGGCAGAGCAATGCTTAAGAGTCTGCTGGGAGGTAAAGGCATGGATAACCTCGTTAAAGCCAGTGAGGCAGCAAGTGTGCTGGAAGATAAGGTGGTGACTTTCCTTTTTGTTGGGTTGGGCTGCACTACTCACTTTCCTATAAGAATTAAGTTTTTGTATGTAGTCCAGTTTCTTGATCTAGTTCTTTGCGCTTCACAACTTTAAATTTGTGGTTTAGGAACCCTATGTGGTTAACATTTAGCCTGACATACACAAAGGGTTAACTTGAACTTTTTGCCAAGTCAGTCCCAGCTCTTTCCTATGCTGCTTTCTACACATTTTCTTTTGTCAGAAAGTTTTGAAAACATTTTAGAGAATGCTGTCAAGGCTTATGGAGGGGGTATGTGTTGCTCTGTCAGCAGTGCAGTTTGATGCAGGCTGTATCTGAACTTGTCTGCACAGAGAAGTGAGCAGGAGCAGTCTACGAGTATTTTCAGCACGATGAGTAGTAAAATATATTCTTTTTCTGTGGTAGCATGCAAAAGGAAGGAGCCCATTTAAAAAAAATCTTCAGATCTGAAATAGCATCTGCAGGGACACATTTAGTTTGTAGGGAAGCATTTAATCCTGGATCCTTTCGGAGGGTGACCAGACTGAAACATAAGAAACAAGCAGGTCACCTTTTCACCATTGTTTTAGCTCAACAAATGTGTAGTGTCTTTTCTTCTTTTTTTCTTCTTTTTTTTTGACAGAGACCAGCAAGGATCTTGGTGGGTGCTGTTGTTTGGGTTTCGTAAGAATCCGCTTATTACTGTTTTCCACATTTCATTCCTTTGTTGCTAATACAGGAATTTCTTCGGAAACGGCAACAGTACCAGTGAAGGGGGAATCAGATGACCCTGACTACTGTAGATTTAATATCCCAGGTAATGATAGTAATTTTCATATGTGTTTATCTCATGAAAGGGTTGGTTGCATAAGTGTTGCTCTCTCCACACCTCTCCGTTTACTTATTTTGGTCATTAAACATGCAATTACATAGCTCTGTTAGGATACAGCATTTCCATGCTGCCTATCATTTAAGTTATTCTGAAGAGTGCCAAAATATCCCGCAGCGTAACCCAATGCCATCTGAAGGGAGTCTACTCTGAAATTGCATCCTTACAAAATAGTATCCATTGTTCTGCAGCGTATTTATCTGAGCTGAAAAATCCCAGTTATACAATATACTTCCATAGGGAAGTCTAAGCAGTGTGGATTTGAAGGGGGGGATTTGAGTAGATTGGTAGAAGTGATAGGGTGCTCTGAGTTAAAAGAGATATTCCCATGTCAAGTCATGCCAACTTCCCTGGAGTAAAGCAGCTTCCCCTTCATTCTTTGAGTAGCTACCACTCTGATTCAAGCCAAAGGTTTTCCAAACTGTAGAGAGCTATAAACTCTGGAGTCATATAGGGGTTTGTGTGTGCGTGGTGGTGCTGTGCAGGAACTGAACCTTCAAAAACTGCAGTTATTCTGAGGTGTGTTCCAGTATTGCCTTTGCAGAGACATGCTACAAAATAAAGCAAATGGTCATAGTTTTTGCTAAAAATAGCCTACAGCTCATCCTTCCAGTGTAGATGCAGGAGAACCAGAGCATTAAACGGTAGGATTTTAGGAGTGTTACTTTAATCAGTTAAGTGTCATTTGTATGCTGGTTTCTGCACCAGCCCCTTTTAACCAATCTGTCTGTAGCATTCAAAAGAGCTGTTATTATGAAAAGCAAACAGCCTTGGACAGTGTCATAAGTTATTTTAATCTCTCTGAATTTATGTATTTAATGTAGGTAGAAATTTGAAAGGCAAAGAGTACTCCTTAGGAATATAAATTTTACAAACAAGAAAGAGATAAAGCTGATTAAAAATTCATTGAAAAAGGGCAGAAACATCAAGATTTTGTGTTTTAAAATTAGTTCATTAACACCAAAAAAAATGAAAGCCTGCTGTTCTGCATGAGTGTCTAGTTGTTCAGTAGTCCAAGAAATGCACACACCTGACAGTAGCCCCTCAACATTTTTATTCTGTTGAACCAGGTAAGTAAGGACTTATAGATACTTAATATTTAACACAGTCTTTCCGAAGTTCAGCATTACAGAAAGTATGAAATGAGAATATAGTATATGAAATTAAGAGTTACTTGGCAAATTTCTCTATAGGTGTTTGTTGTGAGACACCCTTTAAAAGTCCTTCTCTTTATTCCCAAGCAGGCCCTTCCAAGACATCAGACATGGATGAAAAATCTGGTCTTGCAAAAAGCTACACAGGTAGATCTTTTAGTTGTATTTTTCTTGTTTTGGAAATTGAGTATGTGAACCCTTGATTTGCAATAAGAGTGAGGGTATTGGAACTAAAACATAAAAAGAAGTGAAAATTTCTGTTGCTTTAATTTCCAGGTGTTCAAGTAGAGAAACATATAGAAGAGAATCTCATTTCTTCCTTTTATAAATTCAGGACTGAGCATCAGATTTATCACTAGTGATTTGTGTGAATAGATATGTTTCTCAAGAAATTCAATCTGTTTAAAAATTGCTTATTAAGTTTAATAAAAGTCTGCTTATAAATTGTGAGTCCAACTTGATCATTTCTCTCCGTTGAGTGTGAGATGAATGGGCACAAACAGAAAAAAAGTAAATAGGAAGTCTGTGTTTAGTGGAAGCAATTCCTTACTGCATCTCAGCAATAGCTGAAATACATTTACCCCAAAATTGTGCAATGTTTTTCAGCTTCTTACAGTTTGTATTAAAGATACTGCTTTCCCCATTTCCAAACACCAGAAAATACACACCTGCATTTCAGCATGTTAATTTCTTCATAAACTCGGAGTACTCCGGCTGCCATGAATTTTTAAGATTCAGAAAATGACTATTCTGTGTGTTGTTCATGTGAACATTATACCTCTGGATTTTACCTTGTGAAAATCCTTACATTGCATAGTTGGAGTTAAAAGTTTCTTTGGACATTTTACTGTAGTATCTTTTTTTCCTTTATATTTGTAAAGAAAGCCATGAGTGTGGCTCCATCTCCATACTCCATCTTACAGAGATCTGAAAGCAGATGCTCTTGAAAATGCACAAGTGCAGCATTACTGTGCCAGAATAAGTGAAACACGTTCCTTCATACCCTGCTACTTAATGTTGGTATAGTTTCTGATCTAGCTGCCTGTAGTTTTTTAAACTTTACTGCAGTTGAATATAAATTGCTGTTTCTCACACGGAGTGTTGATAGGCCTAATCCTGTTTGTTTTGTTGGTGCACATGGCCCCAACAAAAGCCTTTGTGATCATGAATTTCCCTCCCGTGTTTCATTGTTGGCCTTGCGGCCTGTTATGGTGGTCATTATAGTGCAACAGCCAGAGGCTGTGTAAATGGTAAAGAAATGCATAATCTGTGGTGGCACACAGCCTTTGTTTATATTTTCAGTAATCCTTGATAACAAAGAGAAAAATATTTATGATTGTATTAATCCTTCTAAGCCAAGAACAAGGGATTTCCTACTGTCCTTGCCACCGACTCTGCACTGCTGCACACGTGGTTTAGCAAGTGTAATCCTCACCTCCTTACCCTTGTCTGGAACTGCTTCAAGGCTTTTGGTAAAATATCTTTGCTTCTACTTTTGTTGCCTGCAGTGAGTGCCAGGGGTTTCTCTGACAAATGTTAGTTTAAATGCAGAATTGTGGAGTGTTTCTTTAAAAAACCCTTTTCTGTGTCCATCATTCAGCAGCCCTGTTTTTCCCTTTCAGCTTCCTCTCAGCATGACTCGTCAGAAACAAGTGAGGACTCTGAGGCTGAGTTCTCCAATGAAGAAGGTCAGTTCAGC